CCCTGCCCTAGCCTCTTGATATCAACAACCAGAAGTTATAGTAGAGCTGCCTAGCCCAGCTCCAGGCACAGGGCAGGGCAAGGTGTAGTATGAATTTTTGCATATTAGTTATTCAGCTAATTAATGGATGGCTGAAGAACTCATCTGTGATCAGGTGCAAAGAAGGTAGTAAAAAAAAGGAATTTTGCATATCCTGCCATTTGAACTACACAATACTTCAAGGCAGAGATACCAACTACAACTCTTCAAAGACACAATGCTTCAAGACCAACATACCAACTATACAATGATTGGAATGACCTCATCGAAGACGCACTAGAATGACCTAAAGACTGAGCATGGAAAAACCCCAATGCTGAACAAAGACTTGAAATCCCTATAAAAGTGGGATGCAGACAAGCCAAGATGGGGCATCCACTTTCTGCAACCTCATGGAGCACAGACATGCATGTCTGTTCTTCCCCTGCTCCTATCACCCTCAATAAGCCTGGACCCAGCCATCCAGTGCTAATATTGAGTGACATCTGCCGGTAACTATAAAATCTTACAGGAGTGGTTTTGTCTGTGTGTCTGTTTGTATGTATGTCTGCATATGTCTGTTTGTATGACTGATATGTCCAAGCTTATGTATTTGCTTCATGTAACCAATAAACACGGCATTTTGCTTTATCCCCCTTTTAAGGTCTCGCTCTTAATTTGAGCTATTGGAAATTTTAAGTAACAAAGGGAAGGGACCCCCATGCTGTGCAAGCCAGGCCAATGCCCCTGACCCCCCAAGCCAACAAGCTCCCTTCCCCTCCAGCTGCAGTTCCTGATGCAGTGAAAAGCCAGAGCAGCCTCAGTCTTCAGCTTTTGGTTGCAGCTGCCACATCACTTGGATAAGGGGGTGGGTGAATAGAGCCCCTGGCCACAGACCTGACTTGGACCCTCTCCAAGCCCGAAGCCAGCAATTTGGGGCAGGGGGGGAGTGCTAGTGGCAGGGAGGTTCCCTTTTTGCCCTGTCCCCCCATAGCCAAGGCTGACAGTCCCCAGCTGGCATGGGGGTGGGACTGGGGAGAGGGCCCACTTCAGTAGCAGCACTGGGAAAGATATCCTGGACTCCTTCCACCACAGTACCCAGTACCCCAGTGGCTGGGCTGTGGCAGGGCTGTGGTTACAGGGCTACTGTGACTGTGCACAGAAAAAAACCCTTCCCATCCCCCCAGCCAGGCTACATGTGGGGCTGGGATCAGAGGCTATCACTGAATCAGGTCTGACAGCCGAGGGGGCATGGCCAGTCTGGCACTCAGGCAGAGCAAATGAGCTGTACCTGAGGTTAGAATAGCTTTTTGCAATGCTCTCTGGGATGGCAGCAATCATGCTGTAAGTTAACCCTTGATATGATCTGGTACAGACATTTGATAAATCACTCTAACAAAAAGTTTTTTAGGTGAGTACACATCCATCCAGGGTTAACTTAAAGTGGGATCCATCATTTTTAAAGCATGTTATGTGCTGTGAATGTCTGTTCCATTACAGCTGTAGTTGTCTTCTGTGTGCTTAGAGCACATTAAGTGTAATGCCTGTATCTAGCCTAAATGTAAGGTCCCACCTTGGCAAACTAAATTAGATTGGGTGGCCATTTTTTATGTAATCTAACCTCCCCTAATCACCTTCCCAAGCATCTGTATTTAGCCTTAGACATATGCTTCTCACAAGCAGATGAAATTATCTTCACCTGAACCCTGCACTAACATGGATGTTCTTATTCTTGTACTTAAGTTAGTTTCTTTTGTTAGTTGACTATCTTTACATGCCACTGCATTGTAGAGAGTAAACGCTTTGAGATTTGTTGCCTCAGTAGACATCAACAAGAATGTTTGCCTGGAAATACATAGATATATTGAATCAATCTTAAATTCAATGGCTTAAGTAAATTGGCTACTTGGTTCATAGATCCTCACTAGACTTGAGAAAATTTACAAATCTGTAAAGACATATTCTGTGTCCAAATAATGACAAAGGGCTAGATCTAAAAAAGCCATTACGCTGTTTTTCATATCATGCAGCCCAGTGGGATTTAAAGCTCCAGGTTTGGTCCCTAGCTTCTCCATACAATTGGATACAATACCTAAGATAGTATTGTGCTTAAGAACAGGATCTTTAAAATCCAGAAAGCTAAACAGGAAACCATTTAAAGCTAACCAGTAGGAATCAGGTGAACTGGTGGCTCTGACACTCATTCCTCAAAGAGAGTTAGGTACATAACTTGGGACCACTGCAATTCAGGTTCCAGCAAGAGAGAGAAGGGGAAAGGGGGATGGGGAGGGGGGAGGAGAAGGAGGGGGAATAGATTCCCTTTCAGGTGTTTTTCAGGGCAGGCTCTCCCATGCCTCTGATTGGCTGGAAGAGCCTGCCATGGGGCTGATTATCACTAAACAGCAGTACACAAGCTGCTCTTCTGCTGTTTTAAGAAAGTAAAGCTCACCACTTATTAAACAAAAACTTTTATGGAAAGATCACCACTTAGAACTTTTGAAAACTTCTGAAGCCCTGGATGGGGGTGGAGGATGTTTGCCAGTAGTAGGGCCACTTACTGTTCTGGACTAACCCATGCATTTGGAATTTGTTTTGGCTAATTTGGCTTGGAATATGGATAATTTAAATTTAAAAAAGGCTGCAGCCCCTAAGGCAGGGGGTATTTACCTGGTGCTAATGATACAGCTCAGCTTCAAGCACACAGTTGGGGTGCTGGGCTGGGTGGCAGGTCAACAAAGCTGCCACTCCAGTCCCTGGTAGCATGCTACTGCCCCTATTCTACTCTGGGCAGGGCTTTTAAACTCCCTGCCAAAGCAGGGAATTAAACTACTTGATTGGCTGAGCTCTGACAGGGCTCAGCCTGTATTAGGCTGCCCCTGGAAATGCATGGGGCTTCCACAGTGTTTCTGAAGTTCTGCTCCCTTTCTTCTCTGTTCTTCAAGTAAGTTTTTTTTTTAACTTTTTCCCCAGCCCTCCCTCTCCCCCACAATTTCAGGCCATTCATCCCAGGCCAAATAACAGTTTCCTGGGGGGAATGCTAAATTTCAGGCTTTCCCCTGAAATCCCTTGCAGCCTAAATTACAGTGGTCCCTATACATAACACAAGATCATAATTAACCCGAACGGTGTCATGACATCTAAAGTTAGAAAATTTACACTAGGGTGTGATCCTAATCAGTAGAGTGAGGTGTGTAATTTTGCTATACAGTAGACCAGGAGACCTAGGTGCCTCCCAAAGGTGAACTCAGCAAGGAGACATCTTCTGTTAGCCACCAGGAAGTACTAGGAACAGAAGTGTTTAGGTTCCTGACATCGCTCCATAATGCCTGTGAATTGCGTGGCACCCCATTTCCATAATGATTTTATGAGTCTGCAGTTTGATACAGCTGCACAAAAGGCTAAAGCTATTTTGCAAAGCGTCAATAGAAGCATTAGGTATAAGACACAGGAGGTGATAGTGCCTCTGGTTAGGTACTGGTTAGGCCTCATCTAGAGTATTGTGTGCAGTTTTAGCCTCCACATTTTAAAAAGGGAAGTTAAAGACTGTCCAGAGGCAGGCAACAAAAATGATACTGGGCTTGAAAAATAAGTCAAACAAGGAAAGTTGAAGGAAACAGTGAGGTTCCTCATGAAAAAGGCATTGAAGAGGGAACTTAATGACAATCTTCAAATATCTGAAGAGTTGCCATATGTAAGGAAGCAGGGCACAAGTGGTCTGGCCTAATGGTTAGACCACCAAGGGAAAGTGGGGCTGGGGCTGGGTCAAAGGGCAAGAGCCATATACCAAAGTCAGAAGGAGATCCAGAAGCAGTCTATGAAATAATCCATGGTCAGGATCCAGGAGTCAGATGCTGAGTACCAATCTGGAGCGCAATCCACAGGGAAAGTCCAAAAACAGCGAACTTGGGGTCAGGAGCCCAGAAAGTCTTGCCCCTCCACTCTGGATAAGACCAGCTGTTATATTTAGGGTCAGGAGGGATTGATATGAACTGTGGGGATTTTGGCCTTCCTCTGTACTGGGAGATGCAGCCTTCTTCCTTGGCTCTCATGGGTGAATTTTACCAACTTTGCAGCAACAGGACATTGGACACTGTGGTCCCCCCAGCTTTATGTATGGCATATGATGGTGTTAAGTCTTGTGTTGTCAGGGTTGACTGTGTAGTTTTGCTAGAAGGTTAGACAGTGGATTTGTAAAGGATGGTTTGGATAGGGATAAACCTGCCTTAGGCAGGGAGTTTGACTAGATGACCTCTCAGGGTCCCTTTCAACCCTACTTGTCTATGATACTATGATATTGTATCACTTAACTCCTGACACAGGAACATAATAGGTGGGGGAGAAATGAACACTTAGCTCCTCATGGAGCAACAGGGCTAGCACAGAGCAAGATGTAATACTTACTACATAAAGAGTCGACAAGTATATATATACATACATTTATGTATATTTATGTACATACATTTATGTATATTTATATTGATGTGTGCGTCTACACACACACGTTAGACAATGGATTTATACAAAAATATTTCCATTATTTAAAGGTTTAAACTAGATAGATATTAGTCTTATACAGCTGACTGTCTGAGTATCATTATCTTGGCAAAATGCTGACAAAAGAATACTAAATGTAATTCCATTTTGTAGTGAAGAGCTTTCCATTTTAGAAGGAGAACCTCTATCCTATTGGAGTCAAAAAGAGCATTTATCATTGGCTTTAGTGATGCCTAGATTTCACCCATGGTTTTTGAAAAAAGCACAGTGAATAAAAATGCATGTCTGTGTATCACTATATACTTGTATGTGCATACACGCACATGGAAAGACATGCATATATAAGACTGTGTAGATTTTATAATGGATTTATGGATATGACTCAGTGACAGATTCATCATTCACAAGTCTCTGTGCATAAGCTTCTCAAGTGATACATTAAGTGGTAAAGAACGCAAGTGTTCAAATACACAGATGTAGTGCTATTTCAGAAGAGAAGGTTGAAGTGAGTCACTCAATCAATGCATTAAAATGGAAGTGATAGAACTGTAAGTAATGCTAACATCTGCAGCACCAAAGCAATAGCAGCTTATTACAGTGAGTAAGAATGTCCAAAGACACTGTGTGTGGTATTTTTTTTTTTAAATCATAGAATGCAATTTTAATATAGCATAAAAAAGACATATTCTCTCCTGGGATTTAGAAAGGGACACAGGATTTCTACTTCATACAATGGAAGTTTTGTTATAGAAGCTAATGAGAACTATCATCATTATCAGTTTTCTTTCCACAATCATAAACTTCCTGATGCTCAAAGATACTTTTCTTATTTCAGCAGTCTCAACAGTGGGGTGGCAACACCATGGAGGGAAGGACCAGGCCCCCCACAGCTCAGGGAACACTTGGCCCACTGGCATGTAGCCCCCCGTCCCCCCCCAACTGTGGGAGTGGTGGGCAGGCTCCACCAAAAAACCCCCAAATGATTGGCCCCCTTGCTGCTTCTGCTCTCAGCAGGCACCTGCTGAAGGCAGAAGGGGCAAGGGGGCTGATCCTTTTTTTTGCAGAGCCCGCCTACCTCTCCTGCAGCAGGGAATTGCTGCATCATTGCAATGTGCAACATTGCAAACTAAACTACATCCAGGTATAGTTTAGTTTGCAACAATGCAAAATCATTTTAACCCCTCCAGTCTTGCACATATACACTGTGATGGCATTAAGCCACACAAAGTTTCATTTTTGTCGTGTGTACATGTTAATGGCATCGAGTGTACAAATGCCCATAATGGGTATGATATTGAACCATGAATATGAGGATCACTGAAGGTGAAAAAGGAGGAAAGGCTGATGGATGCAATTTAAACAAATGATTCTTTACAGCACGTGTTATTTATCTGAACCAGGTACAAGCATTACACTTTTACTGGCATAAGTGATTGGAAAAAGATGTACACCCATAACAGAACAGAATTTTGGTGCACACACACTGGTTTAAAAATGGAAGAACCCAGCCTAAGATCTGCCTCCCCGCTTCAACCAAAGAGTGAATGTATGTTCTGTTTGCTACCGATCTAAACTATACTGCTTACAGAAAACCACATCACTTAGATCATTTCTGCCTCAGGCTTTTTGAAAGTCTGTACCTAGCCCTGTAGGGTGAAACTATACTTTTTAGTTACGTTTGTAACTTAGAAAAATATTTATGATGTTGTTGCTGGCACTAAATAATATCTTTAACTTTCAGGGGTGTGCTCAGAGGCATTAGATTTTATGGGAATGAAATAACTAGAAATAACTTAGATAAATGTGTGACTTAAGGTTTTTTTTTTCTTTTTCAGTATTCACAGTGCTTTTAATGTTCCAGTTTCATCATCATGACTTATGCTACATGTGTTTTCCCCATCTCTTTATGAAACTGATTTCAATAAATAGTATTTTTCTAGTTTTTTTCTCTGCATTAACACCAAAGTAATTCCTTGAACGGTATTTGCTATTTACCGGGTTCTGCAGAGGCAGTTGTAGGAATATAAGCGCACAAAATATTTTGCTAAATCATCCACTTTCCAGGTCTTACTATAAGCTTGAGTGAAAATTGACCTTATCTATGACATCATTCACTATGGTAGCACTCAGGGATACTTTCAGAAAGGAAAAAAAACAACTTATTTAAAACAGTGACAGCAGCATAAGGTTTTAAAACAAAAGAGCTTTGTAAATGTAGCATTTCTTTAGTACAAAAGGTCAGAACATGGTAGCATTTCTGCAAATTAAAAAAAATAGAGAAAATTAAACAAAAATACTCCTTATGGAATTATCGCCTGTGAGTACAAGGCCCTACCCATGACTTAAGAACCAGGTTCTGCCTAAGTGGGAGTTTAAGATGAAGTGTGGCAGCTCTACACAAGGTGACTTTATTTTTTACATTGTTAAACTATTTTTATTTAGTAGACCCTGCTCTGTAAGATGCATAAAGACATAGATGAAAACACCTTACCATCTTTTCCCAGATGATGTTTCAAAAGGACTGAGGTAAAACAAATTATTATAACATATTTCACCCTTGGAGCTTGATCAAAGGATGTTGTGTAAATCATCATGCTCTCAGCATCCTCTTCTTACAAGAGGTTACTTTAAGAGCAAGGCCTCGGTAGCTTTATATGGTGGTTGAGCTCATTCAGGTTTGCAACTCATTCACTTCTTTTCTCTCTGGAAAATAGTTACAGGGAAAAGAAAATTCCTAGCCTACTTTGTCATGTACTATGTCATGCTACTAATAAACACTAACCCTGAAAACATAACTTACATCTTGCTGGTAGTCCCAGTGAATTCAACTAGATTACTCTTGTGCATGAAATTGCTCGTATACATTACAGGACCATGGCCATAGTACTTTATAAGGTGATTCCATGCAGCAAAAATAATCATATCTTAATTTGCAAGAAATGTTCTCAATGGTAGAAAGTAATAATGATAATAATATCTCAATTTCAACATACGTTCAATAAATAAATAATCATATTCATAGAAAGGGCAAGACATCCTCTTATTAGTCTCAGAAGTCTTGGCCTTGGAAAATATCATTCTTCATTTAAGAAATGTATTGAATTGCTTTATGACTACACTGCTATTCAGAATGCTTAATTTATTTTTTCTTCTTTTCTCAGAAATCTCAGTCTATGCTCAGGATGTCCCTTTGCAGAGATATAGTTTTTTAACTAGAAAGGCTGCCAGCGTTAGGCCTAATTGTACTTTTGGGTTCTTTGCAAGTCTTTGCAACGGCTACCTACATGCTTCTCCTCCATAACAGCAAGGTCATCACTACTGTACAATATATAATGTAAACAACATACAGTAAATAACATAGTGCCTATACTACTAAACCTATCCCACTACAACTAGTATTTAAAGCAGACACATTATTCTCACTTTTACTTATCAAATTCTCAAACTTGGTGTTAATAGGAATAAATAAAAAATCATTCAATTTTCCTCATCTTTTGACTAAATGAACACCCTGCATATGCAGTACTAAAAGTTCTCACTAATTCTCATTTGTTTAAATTCTTTTAAAGCAGAACTTTTTTATTTTCTCTCTTTTTAGTAAGCAAAGTTAATAAAGGTAGTGATGTATAATTAAAAGTAATTTTCCTTCTCTCAGGATGCAAAATGAATCATTAAAAAGTGAATAAAAAGACATGACTGTCTACCTCAAAATATTAATAGAACCATATAATCCAGTAATATAAGTACATATGGGTTTTTTTAATAAAACATCCTTAATATTTTGCAATAGTTGCCTTTAGAAGGTCAACATTTTCTAATAAACCCTACACAGAAGTATTTTTTTTCCTATGTGTATGTTAGAAAATAATTAATGTAGCTACAATATAATGCAGGTATATAGCAGGCGTTGGCAAATACTGACTTTTTAGTGATAACCACATAACCACCGAGAATTACACTTACAGTTCATCAGCCTCTGCACATACATAAGCAGGGTGTTGAAATAATACACAATTAGCCAATGAATGACAAGCCTAGAATCACTACATCATCGCAAAACACTTCCATTTGCTGATCAGTGATACAGTGAGAGCAGCAGGATACTGTGATTAACGACTATTGAAAGCTCATTAACTCTTTTGTGGTTGTCACAGACACTACAGCTGTGCCTCAGCTAGGAGTTGCTTTTGAGCAGAGAAAAATCATTGGTTTGACAAAAACAGGATTTATTCCTGTTTCAATCACTGGAAATAAAACTAAAGCTTATTTCTGAAATGTACTGGTTTTTCTCAATTGGTATCTGTTTCAACTAATATTTCAAGGATAATTTAAAGCAACTGAATACACACATTCAAACGATCTGGGAGAATTCTCCCAGGTTTGTTTTTCTGGTAGACAAATTTACTCAGACATTCAAAAACCGAGCCCCTGAGAAACAGTGAGCTTGCAATACTAATGCTGCCCAGCCAGGGGGCCCCTGTGCACATAACTCAGCTTGATTTGCAAGGGTCATTCTGTCTGCCTGGAGACAGGTGAATCAGTGTGAAGGGCAGCCCTGATTTTTTGACTCAAACTGCTCAGAGTCAGCCTGTCTCCCTATGGCACAATATGGGGTTGTGAAGATGGTTTGTTTTGCTACCTGCTTAGCTGGATTAGTAGAGTCCAGTCCAAGTGAGAAACTATCTCCCTGGTAGGGGTAAGGGGGCAGGGAGCAAAGCACCCTGGGATGCTGAATGACTGTGCTGTGACTTCTCTTAGAAAGGAACATGTCCGTGTTTGCTTTGGAAGAAAAATCCTAAACATCTGTGTGTTCTTGGGTTCTACTGGGAGATCAGTGACTCTCCCAGTAGAAACTGACTATTTGGACATGGCCTGAAATAGATAAATAGAAATTTGCAGGGACCATATCTTGTAGGTAGGTTATAATAAAATGTTATACAGAATCACAGAAATTAAGGGCTGTAAGGGACCTAGAAAGATCAAGTCCAATCCCCTTGCTCTGGGCAGGAATATTGCTGAGATCAAATGATACCAGCAAGGTATCTGTCCAGTCTCCTCTTGAAGACTTCCAAGGTTCTGGACTGCACCACATCCTTGGGAAGTCTATTCCAGATTCTGGTCACCCTTACCATAAAGAAGTTCTTCCTTCACCCAACCTGAAACCATCCTCTAACCATTTATGGTCATTTCTCCCTGTCCTCCCTGGGGCACCCTAGTAAACAGTTTTTCTCCCAGCTCCTGATATTCACCCCTTAGATATTTGTAGATGGCCACCAAGTCCCCTCTCAGTCTTCTCTTCCCAGATCCCTTAGTCTTTCCTCATAAGATATTCCCTCCAGGCCCTTAATCATTCTTGTGGCCCTTCTCTACACCCTTTCAAGATTCTCCATGTCTTTTTTGATGTGCAGCATCCAGAACTGGACATATAACTCCAGATGGGGTCTCACCAGCACCAAGTAGAGAGGAAGTATCACTTCCTTAGCCCTGCTTGTGGCTTAT